CCCCTATATAACACCCCTTTAAGGAGTTTAGACTATAGCTCAAATAGGTTTACAGTTCAGGGTTTTCAGGGTTTGGGAGCACAGCACCGCAGAGTTCAGGAACTCCGCTGGAAAGGGATTAGTCGAGAATCAATCATTGGATACTATATATATGTGGTTTAGGGTTATATACGTATATATCTATCTAGAGGATTTAGGGTTTAGGGGGATATATATATATATATGTAGAGGATTCAGGTGGTAGGTTCAAGTTGTAGCGCTGGGCGATTTCCTGATCCCTTGGTTGAAAATGCGAAATGTTTAAAGTCTAGGTTTCAGCGTTGGGCACCAGGAAGACAGCACATCAGCTGCTTTGAAGACTTTATGGGAAACACCTGGGGTTAACATGTGCTTTTCCTTGTTAATCAAAGTCGCAGGTGCGCAGTGATTAGTTACTCGGACCCTGCAGGCGACCGACCAACATGCTACACCAAAGCTCTACGCTCCGTCTTATCTTCAATCAGCTACGCAAAAAACAAAAAAAACTGCAGATGGCTAACACCTTCACACCTCTTGCATCCTGCAAAAGGTTGCATGACTTCTCACTGAATGCAACCTTCTTACACGAACCCAGCGCGGCGTACTTTCTCACAGGCTGTGGATGCATGTCCAACAGAGAGCATGTCCCTAAGGCCCAAATACTATAATATTCATGGTGTTTGGGCCTTAAAACCCTATCATTTCGGTCCTTGGACCTTTAGTGTCCCTAAACCCTAAATCCTAACCCTAAAGCCCTAAAGCCGTATTATTTGGGTCCTTGGAGCCTTGGGGCAACAAAGCATGAGCAGAAGTTCACGAACCGTACCGTTTCTTCGGGTTCTGCAAAGGGCCGCTCTCCTACATAGCCTTGGGCATTTACTAGATACTTGGGCTTCAGGGTCGAATCACCGCGGCCTTTAAAGTCGTGGCTCCCTTCCTGTAGGTTTAGGGTTTAGGGTCTTAGGGTTGGGTTACGACACGGATAGCTCACTTACTTGGTGTATGCCTGAAGGATGGAAGCATCATCTTGGACCAAAGGTCGGGTTCTAGTCCACAGCATTCCCAGAGTGACGCCCTGCATGTAAAATCACCAATATTGCTGAGGAAGCTGGTGAACTTTCTTTCACCGAACACCCATAATTCCAACCCTAAGCCCCCCCAAGGCGCAAACTATAGCCACAAAACCGCAGTAGCTATTGCATGCCAAGCCACTGCAAGAACAATGACCGCAAAAACATTGACGTGACTGGGTTTGAAGTAACCCTTTCCGACTTCAACAACGCTAACTTTCTGAGCTTCTACATATGAAGCGTATTTGACGCTAGGGATTACTTCTATCCCGGGTTGCTGTGAGGGAACTTAAACTAAGCTGCGATAATAACAAGGGAATCTTATTCTTTACTATACATACCCTGGTCCCTAAACCCTAAACCCTAAACCCTAAGTATTCCTTAATGGCAGGAATAGGCCTACCCTATGTACACCCTTATTAAGGACAATATAACCCTACTTGAGGGTACAGGGAGGCGGGTCCTGGTCTACAGTGCCTTTAAGAAGAAACCCTAAACCCTAAGCCCTACACCCTAAACCCTACATTAGGGTCTAGGGTTTAGGGTTATAAACCCTAGGCCCTACACATTAAACCCTAAATCCTAAATCCTAAACCCTGAACCCCCTTAAGAAGAAACCGAGGACCGGACGCCCACAGTCAGCTCGTCTGCCACGACGTTTCCGAAGAGTCGGAAGCTCAAAGAGAGCCTTACTCGGGTTGAGGCTTTAGGGTTTAGGGTTCAGGCTTTAAGGTTTAGGATTTAGGGTCTAGGCTTTGGGGTTTAGGGTTTAGGGTGGACCCTAAGGGTCCCAAGTAGCCAACAGCTGAGTACATGGAACCTTGAGGGTTTGGGGTTTATAGGGTAGCTGTAGTCTAGATTTTGGGGAAGTACATGAATAGGGAATACTTGGACCCTCAGGGCGAGAGTTCGGGGAAGCGGGTAGATTTAGGGCTAGTTTGGGGTTTATACATATCGTGGGCTGTCCAAACATGTGCGGACCATACAATTTCAGGAAATCCTAGGCCCAGTGTCATGAAACTGCCGGCGAAAAATGAAGAGTCCCTGCCCTTGACCTCCACAAATGTGTATGAAAGGGCTTAGGGTTCAGGGCTTAGGGTTAGGGTTCCCTAAACCCTAAACCCTACACGCTGAACCCTTGGCATCAGGAGGCCCTGCTTCGCGGTACCCGAGGCAAATCATGGATGAGAGCGACTACTCTGCGAATCAGCTCTAATCCAAGGGTTTAAGGGTTGGGTCTCAATCTTGGTAAACCCTAAACCTAAACCCTGGTATCCTGACAAGCACAGAAGGCCTTTGTGTAGGGAGCATAAGTGTTGAGCATGGTTAGTTTAGGTTTAAAGTGAAATTTAGGGTTTAGGGCTTCAGGGTTTAGGCCTCAATCTTGCACGAGGTTATTGAGCCCCCGGCATGGTAACTCAGTATTTTGGGGATCCCAAGTGGTTCAAAATCTCTAGCATACATGAGACTCCCCAAGTAAGACAGTAAGAAACCTTAATAGGCCCTATAATACTCCCCTCTCTGGTCCCCCATATAGCCCCCTTTAAGGAGTTCAGACTATGGCTCGAACTCTACACCCTAAAGAAGGTCTATGCTGTCCGGGAGTCCCAGGATCTACCTTAGGTTTTAGGGCTTTTGGGGTTAGAGGGTTATATGGGGGTATATAAGGGTCTATATAGGGATATTTTGCGGTATAAGGGACTCTATAGGGTTTAGGGTTTAGCAGTGATTTGAGGGAGATCGGACTTAGGAAGATTGCTGGGTCCCTTTGATAAGCCCATTAGAACCCCATTGTGACCCTTTGCAGAAATGGGTACCCAACCCTAAACCCTAAACCCTAAAACCAAACCTTTAACCCTAAAGCATTACGGGGTCACACCCGGTGCAGTATTCGCACTGTTTTGCCTAAGCCTTAAGCCTGACCCCGAGGCCCGAAACTCTAAACTCTGAACCCTAAACCCGAAAACCTACCCTACCTGAACCCCAAAAGTATGTAGAATAATAGCCTAAGCCCCTAAAAATAGCCATAAAGGCCATTATTCTACATACCTTTGGGGTCCAGGTAATATTCGCGCTGTTTTCTCTGAAGGCTGCTTCCAGCATCCGCCAAAGGGATTGCTTTGGCAAGTCATGGTCCTGCATAGGGGGCTGTTAAAAGGTTATATCGGGTTTGGGGTTCAGGGCTTGGTTCAGGATATAGGGTTATATAGGGGTATTCAGGGGTTCTATAGGGATTATGTAAAGCCAGGATATTTAGGGGTTATACATGTATATGTATATATATATATATGGGGTATATCGTGCGGAAGACTTGAGGCGTCCAAAATTAAGCTCCCCATGTTCTAGAAAAAGCTTCCGCGGTAGACATGAGGTCTTTATGCTCAAGGGTTGGGTAATTCAGCTTCCCATGCTCAGCTAGCTTTCAAGGCTTGGAACCCTTAAACCCTAAACCCTTAGGGAGTAAAGCTCCAAGGCTCCAAGTTTAGGACGTTTCGCCTTCCAACTGCTGATTGTACGGTTGCAAAATCTTACATAGATGGGTTTGGCGTTTACGGTCCCCGTCTGGGTCACCTGACAGAGGGGCCCGCAGTATTTTGGGCCACCCAAGGAAGACTCTAATGTGGACAGCCAGCCATATATGCGACAAGGCGGTCTCATGTCCACCATAACAAGACGTTCGTGAGGTTTGGGGAAATCCCTGCCCGAAACCCTAAAAACCCTAAACCCTAAACCGGCCCTAATCCCTGCTGAACCCTAAACTCTTTACTGACTCCTGAGAAGTCTGTCAGCTCTACGAATATGCCGGAGCTGTCTCCTGGGGAGCTTGTTTCTGGTTATGTCAAGTGGCTTGGGGGCTGGGCATTAAGGCTTACTGTGTTGTTCAGGGCGTAGGACTTAGAATTTCACAAAACCGACGGAGGTGCTTGAGGTCTATAAATGGTATCTGCTTTTTGGAGCTCCAGGGCTGAGGTTGGGGGGCATGAGGGATGAGGGGTAAGGGCCTAGAGAACAAGTCTTTTCCTGTTGAGGGAATAAGGCTTCTAGCTTGCAGTTCATTTCGGGGGCTTCTGTGACAAGATGAGCTATAGTCTTAACTCCTAGCATCCCCCTTAATAGCCCCTATAGTACCCCCCAATAGAATCCCCTACATAACCCTATTTAAGGAGTTTAGACTATGGCTCAGATGGGACTGAGAATGGAGGGCTTGAGCTCTGGGGCTGGTGGCTTAGTGCCTATCAGAATTTTGCTGGGGCTCGAAGTGTATAACGAAGATCTAGTTTGCGCCCTAAAGTCTACGAATGTTGTTGATGGGCAAAATCCGGCATGACCCTAGGTCTAATTTGAAAAACCTGAACCCCTAACTAAACCTTTACAAACCTTATACCCCAAGCCTTAAACCCTAGGCCCTAAACTCTCCAGTTAAGTCATACTTCGGCATTTTGGGGGATGGAGCTGCGACGACGGGCCTCCACAAATCAACGAGAAGGGGGAACTTGAAAAGCCTAGCGTTTAGGGCTTAGGCTTTAAGGTTGAAGGTTAGGGTTTATAGGGTTTAGGGTAAAGGGTAAAGCTTTAGGGCTTGAGGTTAACCCTGAAACCCTAGATCCTGAAACCCCTAAACGCTAAACCTTGAACCCTGAAACCCCTGAAACATACACCTTCTTGTGTAACTTTAATCATCTCTAGTGAGTGCTTTGAAAGACTATGAGGTACTACCTGGTCGTAGGGGTATACCTAGACCCCTAAGGTATGTAAAATAGTAGTCTTTTGGGCTGGTTTAAGGGCTTTGGGGCCATTATCTTACCTACTTTGGGGGTGTTTAGGCTACGCTAAACCCTAAACCGTAGGCCCTAAACCCCTAGCTTAGGTATCCGCACCTTGAGGCAAACTGCTTCCAAGCGTCCGCCCGCTTCAGGACTTCCCCATGTCACGAGATGCCTCGGCGCTGTGAGTTGCAGTGAACTTATACAGTTGAGGGTTTAGGATTAGCCCCGGTTGCTGCTAGGGAACTTTAAATTAGTTACCATGGTGTGAGTATGCAATGAAAGATAGCATTTCCTGTTCTGCAGTAAATCCCTTTAAGTTCCTCAGCAGCAACTCAATAACATTGAAAGAGGGCACGGACCTAATAGTTCATATCTGATCCTCTAAAATTATATGAACTCCTGATCCCCTAGAACCATGCCACGGTTTAAGGTTAAGTGCTTAGGACTTTGGGTTCGGGGTCCGGCCCCAATGGCAAAAAGCAGTGAGACAAGTGACGCGCGTCGCTGCCAATGCATGACGTGTTCATAGGATTTTGGGAGAATGTGTGTCCAAGTAGAGAAAGCCTTTTGTCTGGACAATTGAACAAAGAATAAAGGGACTTCACTGGGAACCCCAAACAGTGAACCCCAAGAATGCAGAAGGAATAACATGGGAATATACCTACTATAGGGTCCTTATATTCTACCATATTTCTACTATATTCTTGGGGTTCCCTGTTTGGGGTTCCCATCAGAACCCTCTTGAAGAGTAGAAGCCTGAGGAATTCTGTTTCAGAATCAATGAGCTTGTTCAACTCGGAAATTCTTTCCCTAAACCCTAAACCCTGAACCCTAAACCCTAAACCCTAAACCCTGAACCCTAAATCCTAAACCCTAAACCGCGTGGCTGCTTCCAGGATGATCCGGCGCAGGACAGGGCTAAGGGAGGAGATTTGAGGGGCTGCATAGTTTAGGGTTTAGGGTTTAGGGTTTAGGGTGGTTTAGGAGCATGTCAACACTACTTACGGTAGGTTTGAGGAGGACCTCCCACCCTGTAATAGTGGCATACCAGGAAGAAAAGAGGACCCTAGTACAATTCTTTGCCCTTCTAGTCACTGTCACTGGGTGCGGGCTCCACTTAAAGTAGGATGTTGGAGTCAAGGCTCCGGCTCTAAGACTCGAAGGCCCTAAGGTTTGTGCGCGGCACGCTTCCTTCAAAGGGTATTTTTGAATCGCAAACCTTAGGGTTTTAGGGTATAGGGTTTCGGGCACTAGAATCAGTAGAAAGCCTTGTGGTTGTTTCTGTGCATGGAGGGACCCCAATATACACCCATCCCTGATTTTGGGAAACCCTAAACCCTAAAGCCTAGATATCCCCATATAACCCCTATAAACCCCCTTGAGGACACTAGAAATAACCTGCTCTCCAAGCCAGCAAATCCACGGAACTAAACCAAGTCTGATGAAGCCCTAGGTCGGTTTCTCAAAATTAAGGGTACCTTCTGTGGTGGGTGTAAGGGTCCACTAATAATCATATACTTACCCAAAACCTGCACTATAATTCCTATTACCCAAATCCCAAGTACCTAATTATTGGGTACATGGACCCTTAGGGATAAGGACTATATAGAATAGTTTAGGGTCCATGCTAAGGTCCTTCTCTTCAGAAATGCTACACTACGAAACTCCAGAAGCCCAACAAAGCGGTGTGGCGTCCCTACTATTGATGCAGCAAAATCTCGCGCTAGGTAAGCGCCGCAAATCCTAAATATGATACCTTAAGGGTCCAAGTACCTAATAATCAGATACTTACCCAAAACCTGCACTATAATTCCTATTACCCAAATCCCAAGTACCTAATTATTGGGTACATGGACCCCTCGGGATAGAGTAGAGATCCAGCAGTATGAAGTCAAAGTCTCCTTACAGAGGACACCCCCCAGGAAACATGTCCTCAGAATCTCCACATACGCCCTAAACCCTAAACCCTTAAACCCTTAAACCCTAGGCCCTGAACCCTAAGCCCTAAACCCTAAGCCCTAAACCCTAAATCCTTAAACCCTAGGCCCTAAACCCTAACCCCTAAACCCTAAGCCCTAAACCCTAAATCCTTAAACCCTAGGCCCTGAACCCTAACCCCTAAACCCTAAGCCCTAAACCCTAAATCC